AGCTGGCGGAGCTCATCAGCACCATGCTGGCCTACAACCTCACCTACCACCAGGAACGCTTGCCCGAGGGCCAGTACGTCTACAAGCTCGACCCGTAAGTCCCGAGGGTGGGGAGGAGCAGAGTGCAGGAAGGAGTCTGAGCCTGAAAGCGTCGTGGCATCGAGTTGGTTTCTCACGGCGAGAGCTCGGAGGTTTCTCTGGCCCTGGCAGCCGGGTTGGCACGAGCTGCCCCGTGCTGGGATGCCTGCAGGGACCTGATTTTCTCCGCTGGCAGCTCTGCGGGGATTATCTGCTTTTTTTGCTTCGTGTTTTGTTAAGGAGGAGCCCCGGAGCCTTGCCGGTGCTTGGGGCTGCCCTGGATTTGCTCCACCCGCAGCGTGGTCCGGCTGCTCCCCTCGCTCCCTCGGGCTGAGGCTGAAACAGGGCTGGTTTGGCTTTCATGGGATTAAAGGAAAGGAAGGAGCTGCCTTCGGCTCTCGCCGGAGCTGGCAGGGGAGGGACTGAAGCTGCTTGGGGGCTCGTGGCAGCGGAGGAGAGCAAGTCCACCTGGGCACGTTGCACACAGGTCACTGCAGCCACAACTGGTGGCATGGTTTGTATATTGAGAGCCGGCCTCTGCTCTCACTGTGCTTTGAGTATATACAGAGCTGTGAACACTCCCGAGGCTTCAGTGAAGTCACACAGACCCGACCACAGCTAGGAGCAATGCTCTTGTCTTCCTGGTGCAAAGTTAATTACAAAAATTAGCCTCTGTTAAATCAAGCAGCTGTATCTAATTACAGCAGAGCACTTTTTTTTTTTTTTTTTTTTTTTTGTTCCCCCCATGGAAAGGCCTGCGGGAGCTGCAGGGGCTGTAGGGACCTGTCCTCCCTTGCCCTCCCCACGCCAGGCTGTGCCGCCGAAACGTGTCCGTGGGGAACCCGTGGGTCGTTGGGAGCCACGCGGCGCAAGCGGGCGCGTTGCTTTGCTCCGCTTCGCTTTTTTTTTCTTTTTGTGAATCCTGAGCCTGTTTCCTGGCCACGCGCAGTGATGATGGGGACCGTGGGGGTGTCACATCCCGGTGGCACCTGTGAGTTGCGGCCCAGCACCCCCGTGGCAAACAAAGCTGTTGTCCACATCAAAACCTGGGTTTTCTCTTTAAAACTTCTAAAATGATAGATTTGACAGTTAAATTTCTCAATGACTGCAAAGCCATCTGACATGGGACTTCGCTCCGTTTAAGAGGAATAATACTGAATGTGAATAAAGTGTGAAATATTTATGGCTGGCAGAGGAATGGGCCCAGCTGGCTCCTTGGGGCTGGGACTGTGCCTGGGCTTCCCTACTGCAACAGGCCTAACTCCAGACCTGGTGCGCCAACCTTGTTGAGAAAAAACAACTGCTCTGATGAGCCAAACTTACTGTCCACGGCCGTATCCCAATTAAACAGCCCCACGCAGGCACCTCGGGCTTCATGCGAAGGGTCATGGTGCTGCTCGTGCCCAAGCTGTGATGCGACTGTGGTTTTTTCAGGGCGGTCCCTTCGGCGCAGAACCCCCCTGCCCGCCGTTTCCTCTTCTTGCATTAAAACCAAGATTAAAAAGCACGTAAATCCCTCCTGAGCTCGCGTTCAGCTGAGCTGTCCCGCAGCCACCTGGCTCCGTGCCGGGGCATCTGCAGACTCGGAGAGGGCAGCGATGGGGAAACTGAGGCACCGTGGCCAGGATCGTACCGAGGGGATGGGAGTCTGGTGGGTCTCCCTGTGCCAGGCTGCAATTTGCATAATGCTTTTTTTTTTTTTTTTAATTTTATTTTATTTTTATTTTCAGTATTGATTTATTTTCTCTGCTTTCCCGCTTCGACCGTGCAGGAATGTGGAGGATGTCTGCCGGTTCCCGGACCTGCCGGCTCGCAGGCAGCTGACCTACCAGGCCAAGCAGCTCATCGCCAGGGAGATTGAGCTGGAGAAGATGAGGAGGACAGAGGCTTTGCTGCAGGCTCGAAACCAGGGCGAGGTAGGGAGGGCTCCTGTGGTTTTGGCAGGGCGGTGGGTCTGTTGATGGGGGGGGGGGAAAAGTCCTCGGGGCTGGTGTGGGGACCTGGTGTTTCCAAAGCAGCCGGTGGCTTTCGCTCTGAAAATGGAAATCTGGGATTAACCCCCCCACACACACACACACAGTCGCAGCTGCCTGCCTGCACGTCTGCCTCCGGGCATGTCCTGGGGTGACGTGCCCGAAGGGCTCATCTTTTTGCAGGAATTGTGGAAAGAAACGCTCGCTGTGAGTTAAAGCTTTTAAACCCTTTGACTCTCTGATGATGGAAGTTTAGTTCTGGCGGTGGTTTGTACGTGTCCCCAGGGGAGCTGACCTGCTCTCTCCTGCCTGCACGTTCTCTTGCTGCTTCCCTTTGATCCTCCCAAAGGTCCCTGGGAGGAGCAGAGTTACTCTGCCCACCACAAAAACCCTCCGCGGAGCAGTGGGCAAGAGGCAGGAGGTGGAAACGGGTGGAAAAGGCTGAGGAAACAGCTTGGGTGTAGCTGGTGCCTGCTCTGCCCTGGTGCCGTGGGGGATAATTAATCCCCAAGAGCCCCTTCTTGCAGCAGAAAGGCTTTCTCGGGGGACGCGTCGGGCAATGAGATGCTGCAAAAACATCTCTGAAGGCTCCTTGTTTACACGGTGCCGACCGCAAAGGCCCGGGGAAAGCGACTGCAAACACACACACACGTGCCGAAGCGCGGCTGGGGCTAATCCCACGTGCTGAAAATTAAAAAAAAAAACAAAACAAAACAAAACAAACAAACAAAAAAAACCAAAACAAAAAAAAACCAAACCAAACCTTGCCAAGTTGTTTAGATGATGTAATTCAACCTGGTAGTAAATAGAGGAGAGGGGGTGCGGGATGGGTGACAAAACACCGTCCTGCCCCCAGGCTGTGCAGCTCCTGGGGAGCGGGGGGGATGCCCAAACCTTGAGCTCGGCCGGCCCGGAGGGGACCCCTGGCTCAGGGCTCTCCATCCCGCAGGAGCCCGGGAATGGCCTTGGCGAGGGGGGGGAGCGGGCGGCCGCGGGGCCAGCGGTGCCCCCCAACCACCACCAGCGCCTGGAGCACATCGTCCGGAGGGCGACGGTGGAGGACAAGGTGAGGGGGGGGCTGCAAAAAATACCTAATTTCCTACCAGGGCCCTACCTTGGCTGCTAGAGACTGCCTGTCTCCGTCGGTATTTATTTATTTTTAGTACAGTTTCTTTTAATAGAATAGCTGGGCGCCACGCGGCCCGTAAAGGCACGGCTGGGTTTGCAGCACGGGGGGTGGGGGGAGAATTAGATCTGGGTGACAATTACGGACGTGCCCCACGAAGCTCTCAGGGGTGGGGAAGGGAAAAGATGCAAATGGGTTAAAATAGCTGGATTTTGGCTCCGGGGAAGCCACGGGGTTTTGGGGAGAGCTGTTTGCCGGGCAGGGAGGTACACGCACAGCTCGGGGGTGAGCCAAGAGGAGCGAGGGGGTTCCCTGCCACCACCCCTCCCCGTGGGCTCCCCTTGGAGCCCTCAGCCCGTGGGGGAACTCCGCTTCACCACGCCGAGCCTTAAAGTTTGTCTTTCCCACCCGGTTTTGAATGCCATTTGCGTTTTACGGAGGCCGCTGGCCCTTTTGGCAGGATTTGCATCCAGCTCCTGCCCCGGGGGGGGGGGGCGGGGGGGGGGGGCGGGGGGGGCCGGGGCTTAGCTTAAAATTAGGCAGAGCTGCGTGGTGTCCAGCCTTGCCCAGAGAGGAGCTCCGCTTGCTTTTGGCCGTCTTCAGCTGCGAGCTGTAAATTCAGGTGCCAACAGAGCCAGGTTCGCCTCCTGATTTATTTATTTATTTATTTATTTATCTATTTATTAATTTTTTTTTTTTTTTGCTTTTCACAGCCTGACACAGACTTCTTCGGGCGGCCGCTTCAGCGGGTGGCCACGGCCACGGGGGGTAGGTGACAGAGGGACGGGGTGGCCCTGGGTGGGTGGTCCACGGGTGCTGCCGGGGCGGGGGGGTGTCACTGCATTGGCGGTGCCAGTCCCTACACACTCGCACCCCTGGGGGACAGCGGTGGGGTGGGGAGGTTGAGCAAAGTGACACCCCCCCCCACCCACCCAGGGGGGTGCCTGGGGGTGGGTCGGTGGCTTCCAGCAGCATCCAAAGGGTTAACAGCTCCACCGAGCTGTGGGTACCTCAAGTGTTTGCAGGATGCGGGAGCATCAGGTCTGCCCGTGCAAACCCCCCCGCCTCCCTGGTCCCCCCCCCCTTCCCCGTGCAGCCTGGGCCCAGCTTATAACTTTAAAGAGTTTCTGGAAGTTTTAAACATCTCTCCCCCCCCTGCAGCCCCCCAGGACTCCAAGGAAGAGTCAATCGAGAGCCAGATGGGAAAGGCCGTGGGCAGGAGCGACGTCTGGTTCCGGTTTAACGAAGGGGTTTCCAACGCTGTCAGGAGGAATATCTACATCAAGGACCTGCTCTAGCAGGGCTGGGGTGAAGCCCAGGAAATTATACAGATGGAACTGAAAGGAGAAGCTGCCTTTTTGGCTTTCTAACCCATGGATGGGGGGTGCGTGCGTGCCCCTTGTTTGGTTTCTTTTTTAGTACCCACTTGTTTTGTTTAAAAACAGGAAATAAAATATATATAAAAAAATTAACCATGAAGTATTGCTCTGTTTATTTAATTTATAAACCCTTAGTTGTCATATTTTGCCTGTTTTGCTGCAAAATTATATCCTACAATATACAAAAGAAGATTTAAAATCACTGGAAAGGTTTTATAAAAGTTTTCTTCCTTTACAAGTTGGAAAATCTGCCTGCTTGATGGCAACGGGGGCAGAGGGGAGTGGAGGTCTGCGGCTGGAACCTGCAGCCTAACCCTGGAGCCACCTTTGCTGCTCCTTTCCCCCCCCCACCGCCCACCCCCCTGTGCTTTCCCCATGTCCCCCCCCGCCTTGGTATAAAAAAGAAACACTTCTACTACTAACAATAAAAAGACGAGGGCAGGGTTTTTGTTCAGGTTAGTCATATTAGGAAGCTAGCTAATAAAAAAGTGTACATTTTGGAGGGGGGGGTGGGGAGTGAGGGGCCGCAGGAGCCGGTGCAAGTAGGGGGGGATCGACCTCTCAGAGGATGGTGCATTTGCCTTTTTCCACCCAGGGGTTGTTTTTCATCAGCTCCGGGTTCAAGAAGGGGTCTTCTGTAATGCCGTCCTCGATCCACTTCACAAACCTGGGGAGAGGGGAGCCGGGGAAGGGGGGGGGGGGGGGTGTTGGTTTGGGGGGGGGGCATGGATGGGTCTGCGTTGCACCGAAGCATTTTGCAGCTGCGTCGCCCTCCGCGAGGGACAACGGGGCAGCAGCAAAACGGGGGGGATTGGGGCGGGAGGGGGGGCGCTGCAGTGCCCGGGGTAAATCCTGCTCTGGCGGGGAGCGGTGCTGGGGGTGCACCCCGCTCTGGCAGGCGGGGATTTCGGGGTGCTCCCAGCTGGGTTTTGGGGGGGGGGGGGGGGGGGGGAGGGGGGAGCTAAACACGAGTTTAACAAAAACCTTTTGTCCCCCTGCGGCTGCCCATGTGCTGCTGGCATGGGGACGGGCCTTGCATTGTGTTTTAGAGCTTATTTGCTGAAGTTGCTCTTTTTCTGCATTTTTTCCCGCCCCCCCCCCCCCCCCCCCAACTTTTAAGAGGCCAGTGAGCAATGGGGCCACTCCCAAGACCCTTCATCGTGAGGAGCAGGGAGGTACAAACCAGGGAGGGGAAATACCTGTCCGTGAGGTTGTTTTTAAAGTTAAGTTTTTTGGGCCCGGGGAGGTTTTTTTTTTTTTGGGGGGGGGGGGGGGGCACCCACTCACTCAGGTATTGTTTTGGAGGACATCTCCCGCTTGTAGGCCAGCTGGTACTTCAGGCTTTCCACCTCCTTCTTCCACTGCGGGAGGTCCCACTCGTCCATGGTGGCAGCTGGGGGGTCGATAAGGGCGGGGGGGGGTGTTGGGGGGGGGGGCTGCAAACAAGGACATTAGTGCCATATCTCACAGCCACATCCTGCCTCGGCTCCCCCCCCACACACACACACCCTTTTGCAGCTCTACACCCCCACCACCACAAAGAGGGGGTCCCCTAGGATGGGGACAGTGTGCCACCATGACCCGGGGGGGGTGGGTTTCCAACCCCATGGCGGAGCAGCTCGCGGTGCCGGGAGTTTTGGGGGGGTTGTTTTCTCATGAGGAAAAGGCCCCTGTTACCTGGGGGTTCCCTTACCTGGGGGTGTCCTTACCTGGGGGGGCGTCCTTACCTGGGGGTGCCCTTACCTGGGGGTTCCCTTACCTGGGGGGGTGTCCTTACCTGGGGGTGCCTTTACCTGGGGGTGCCCTTACCTGGGGGGGTATCCTTACCTGGGGATGTCCTTACCTGGGGGTGCCCTTACCTGGGGGGTTCCCTTACCTGGGGGTGCCCTTACCTGGGGGTTCCCTTACCTGGGGGGCGTCCTTACCTGGGGGTGCCCTTACCTGGGGGTGCCCTTACCTGGGGTGTGAGGCCAGGCTGGCACGGGGGGTGGGTGCCCAGCGCTGGCCTCTTGTAGCCCCGCCGTGCCCGCGGGCACATGCAAAACCCCAGGACCTGGCCAGATTTGACTGTAATTTGGATGGTAGCATTGCTTGAGGTGGAGAGCAGCAAATAGCAACCTGAGGCTATCTGGGCACGGTGCAGGGGGGCAAAGGGGTGGTGGTGTGGGGAGGGGTGGGTGTCTGTCCTTCTCCTGCTTGGCTGTGGACCCAAGCGGGGCCAGGAGGGATTTGGGGCATCCACATGGCTGTGTGGAAATGGCTCATGTGGCTGGTCCCCTCTGATTTGGGGAGCAGGACAAACCACCGTGTATTATCCCCACACCCCCACACACCCCCACACCCCCAACTCCCTTCCCCTCCCTGCCACCACAACAGCCACCCTGGGTGCTGGCTACCGGTGGGGACATGCATGGTGGGGGAAACTGAGGCACGGCAGGTGATGGGGCACAAGCTGTGCCCATAGTCGCCTCGAGCCCTTCGGCGAGCACTTGCCTCCAAGAATCGGTGGCACAAGGCGACTTCCCCCTGCCCGTGGCCCGCTGTGACCCCCCCCTACCACCCCCCCAGACCTTCCAGCACCCATCAGCGCCGCTTTGCACCGGGGCTGGCTGAACCCCAGGGATGCCCCCCGCGCCCCATCCTGCACCCCAGGCCAGGCTGCAGCCCCCGGTGCAGGGGTTGGGGGTGCCGGGGTTGGAGGAGGTGGGGAGCAGGAAATCCAGCCCCGCACGGACACAGCTCAAATCCAGCCATGCCCCGGCACAGTTCGGCTGCTGCACGGGCTGCCTCATCTCGGCTTCTCCGCAGAGCATCTCCCCGGAAAAAATAACGAGGCACGGGAGGAGGGTGAGCACCCAGAGCCCAGCATCCCCCCCACCCCACCCCGCACCCGCGATCCGGCCTCCCCGGGGGGCTCGGGTCGCCTTTTGGCAGCTCTCCTGGAGGCAGATGGGGACCAGTGTCGCCCATCCTCACTCCAGCCATCCCCACCAGCATCCCAGCTCAGCAGCGGCTGAGCCCTCCCCACCTACCTTGGCTGGAAAAAGGTGTTAGCGGGGGAGCGGGGGCCGCGTCCGTCCCCGCCGGCTCGGCAAGCCGCCCTGGCCTGGCCTCCGGCGAGCGCTCCCCTCGCTGCTGGCGAGCCCGAATCCTCTGGGTAATCTATTAATGCACGGCTGGTCCAGCTGCCTCCGACACGGCAGGAGCCGGATAATGGGAGCGTCCTTCTCCCCCCTCCCCTCACTCCCCAAAACCCACCCCCCCCCCCCCCCCCCCGCTGCTCCCGGGGGATTTGGCTCTGCTGAGCGTGAGCGGTACCCGGCGGCTGAGCTGCCGAAATGGGGTTACCCCAACCTCCCCCCCTTGCCCTAAGGGACAGAAGGACCCCCCCACCCACCCCCCCCCCCAAAAAAAAAACGTGTGATGGGATGCAGTGGTACCCCAGGGAGGCCCTTGCTCCTGCCTGCATCCCTGCCTGCATCCCTGCCAAAGCCACCCCATGTCTTCCTCAGATTTCTTGTTTCTTCCCGTTTCCCTGGTGCTGGGGGAGTGAGGGGGGGGGGGGGGGGCGGTTTGGAGCATCAGGGGGGCACCTGGAGGAGGGGGGAGGTTAGTTAAAAAAAAAAAGGAAAAAAGAAAAGCTAAATGCAAAAAAGCGAGCAGCTGGAGACTAAACATATGGTGGGTGAAGGGGCAGGGTCAGCACAAGGGGAAAGGTGCAACAACATTAAAAAATAATAATGTGTGACAGACAGGGAGGGGGGGGGAAAAGCCCAGGAAGAGTTGCTCGCTGACTAAAGGCAATGGAATTAATGCAAAAGCGAAAACGCAAGGTGAGGAAAAAAAAAAACCAAACCAATAACCATCGCTACTTTTCATTAAACAACAAATTAAAAAAACCCTTGAGGTAATTATGGTGACAGCAGCTTTGTGCTTAAAAACACCCCAGAAAACCAAAGCTTTCACAGAGAAAAACTGCCCAAATCCTGACCCAGGAGCCCCCCCCGTACACCCACCTGTGGGGGCCCAGGGCCCAGGCCTGTACCAGCGGCTGTTTGTCCTCTGTAGAACACACCTGGCTGGGTTCATCCAATTATACAGACACATGCAAATGTCTAATTGATACATACATTAAAAAAAAAAAAAAAAGAGTGTGTGTGCATGTATACACACGTATGTTTACATGTATACACACATTTTTTTATATATATACGTATGGAGGTTGAAGAGATATATTCATATTAAATGTGTGGTTATAATTTATATAATATTATGTGCATTATATACCCTATATTATGTAAAGCACAGATATAATTAATATATATGCATATAATACAAAAATACATATATATATATATAAAATTAATATATATGCATATAATACAAAAATACATATATATATAAAATACCTCCGCTCTATACATCCACACACACACATATATACCTCTATAGGATGCCTTCTGCAGTAGGCAGGAGCCTTTACAGCACCAAACCACCAGAGCCACGTCTCTGGAGCAGGAGCCCGATGTCCCGCGGCCCCGACGCGGGTGCAAGGCGAAGCCCCCCCAGCCCCTGGGCAGTGGGGGGGCCCGGGGCTGAGCCGCGCTCCCCCCACCAGCCCTCGCCCCCCGTGGGCGACCGAGAGGCGGGAGACCCCCCCCCCCCCCCCCCCCCCCCCCCCCACCCCTTCCCGGGAGAGGATGCTGGAGTCTGGGGCTCGGCCAGGGATCGATGGAGATTTTGGGGGCCAAACCTTGAGCCCGCCGCAGCACGAGGTTTGTTGCCCAAAGGAAATAATAAATATATTTTTTTTTTAATTATTATTATTGCAACAACAATATTGGGCTTTGCCTTGTCGCAAACAGCCACCAGGCTCCTTTGGGGTGGCTGCGGCTCAGGACAGGCTCCCCGCGCCCCAAACCACCACCGGCGCCTATTAACAAGGTCAGCGGTACCGAAGGCTGAACCGCGGATTATCTGGCCGTCGACATCAGCCGTAATCTCCCCGCGCTGCCTCCAAACAGTTCTGGGAAAGGCTTGGGTTTAACGACAAAATGACACTGGAGACGGGTTATTGGATTTCCGCTGGATTTTCTGCAATCTGACGGCAGCGCCCAGGGACTTTAGGAGCCACCGTCCCCACCAGCCCTAAATCGGGGGGGGGTCAAGCTCAGCCCTCCCGCCAGCCCGCTTTCTCCCTGGGCTGTGGGGCCACAGCCTGGCTTTGGGGGGGGGGGGGGGTGTGTGTGGGTCTGGGATGGCCCTGGCTGTGGTTTGGGGGGGCGGGGGGGCAGCCCCCAGCACAGCAGATTGCAGGGCCTGCCTCAGCTACCCCCACCGGCTTTGTAGATTAAAGAATTATGAACTCCTGAAGTTTTGCAATATTAATGATTGTGGCCATCTGTTAATCTGGCAGCTAGCAACAAGATGTGGTTTTTTTTTTTTTTTTTTTTTTTTTGGGTGGTTGGTTGTTTTCTTTATTTTTTTTTTTTTTTTTTTTTTAACTTCACTTAGTCCAGTTATTAAAACTGAGCATTTTTTTTAGGCAGCTGGAAGAGCGTGTGACTCCTTTTCATCCCAGGGTTGCTGCCCAGCGACTTGCATCCCCATCCTTCGCACTGTCCCCACATTATTTAAGTGGGACACGGGAGCAGGTATGGGAGTGGGGGGTGGAGGAAAGGAAGGGGATGCTGATGTGACAAAGAGCCCGGTGCCACCCAAGGGTGGTGGCTGGGGGGAGGGACCCCACCCCAGCAACAAGCCAACAGCCCCCACCGCCCCGCAAAGCTGCCCCTGGGAAGCAGGGGGGTGTGTGTGTGTGTGTCTGTCTTCAGAGCCAGCTGCTAATTATGGCTCTCTTCGGGATGGTATTTTAGATAACTCTGGTCTCTGGTGCAGACTCCGAAGGGATAAACTCATTTAGCAGGTTAATTAGTGTCCTTGGTAGAAACGGTCCCGGGACTCTCGCAGCCCGGGAGGTTGGGCAGCGCCGGGGTGGTTGGGGCCGGTCCCGCGCATCACCCCCCAGCTCTGAACGGATCCAGGATGTTGTACAAATCCCCCACCCCGGGAATCGAGAGAGGCAAAAGCTGCCCCCCTTCACCTCCTCCGCTCAGACCAGAAAAAGATCTGCCTCCGAGGCCCAGCTCTGCGCCTCGCATCGCCGCTCTCCCCCCTGCGCAGAGCTGGGCCAGTTTGTTCTTAATTACAGCGAGAGGTCAGCCCTCGGGCCTGCGAAGAGGGTACCAGCACTCTATGTCAGAAGCCTCAGCCCTAATCACGCTGATCCCCAAGTGCTGACCGCCACCCAAGGCGGGTACACGACGCTCCTGGGCTCGAGGATGCCCTTCCCAGCCTGGACTTTAAGAACATCAGACCATTTCGCTATTTTCAGATGAAATTTTCTTTTCGGTCCAGGCCAAATGTTCTATTTATCCTTTGGCAGTAGCAGCTGTAGGTACACTTACTAAAACAGCAGCGTTGCACTTGCTAAAATACAATATTTGGATGAGACAGCTCTAGGTGCCCATTTTCCTCTCCAAACTACGCGTTTCAATTTTTAATGAGCTCTGTTCATCTCGATTATACCTGGAGCAAAGCAGACGAGACCAGCCTTCAATTTACCTTTGGGGTTATACCAGTCCCAGTCTCAGGGCACCAGGAAGACGTTTCCCACTGGGGTTTGTTGTAATGACTATACCTGTCTATCCACCCCATGTCCAAAGTCAGGCACTGATCTTCAGAGAAAGTCTTTTTCTCATACATAAAAGATTATACCATTATCTATAGTATAATCCTCACTATAAGGGCTGCTATAATTCATTAAAATTCAGAAGCAGATAAATAATAAATAGATCTGCTATTTACTTACAGTAAACAAGCCGTTCCTAGCCCTTCCTTGTGATGGTAAATCCAGGCTCCAAGGGGTAAGACAACACCCGCCCTCACTGCTCCCTCTCCCTCCTGCACCCAGCGGGGTGGCACTGGAGTGAGTCTGCACCTGCCCCGAGGTCAGGCTGATGTTGGGGCCTAACTTGGTTTTGCTGCTGCTCTTTTTGCACCCGCCGCGTGAGCGACAAAGCACGATGTAACACCCCCCCCCGTTAGCGTACCCGGGGACTAACAAAATTTGGGGGGGTTTGGATGAGGATGATCAGCGTTTGCAGCCTCCTTCCCCCTCTTTTTTCCTCCCCCTCAGCCATGACAGGGACCTTCTAGTACTGAGGTAGATGAGGTGAGAAAGATCCCGTTGTTAGGAACGCGCAAGGAACACCTCTCTTGGAAGGTGGGATGAAACACCTCGGCGCATCCAGCACAGACCAGAGGAAGCACTATGGGGCCAGCCCTGCTGACAGACACGGAACCAGATTCCCGAGTATCAGGGGAGCACTGTTTAAAAAAACCAAACCAAAACAAAACCAAAACCAACAAAACAACCAAACCAAAACCCAAAACCAACAAAACAACCAAACCAAAACCCAAAACCAACAAAACAACCAAACCAAAAACCAAAACCACACCAACCAAACCAAAAACACACCAACCAAACCAAAAACACACCAAACAAAACACAACACAAGAACAAAGAAACAAAAACCCCCAAAACAAAAAAAAACAAAAAAAGCAAAACAAAACCCAAACCAAACAAAAAAAAAACAAAAACAGAAAAAACAAAAAGCAAAAAAAAAAAAAAAAACAAAAAACCCCAAATCAAAACAACAACAAAAAAACCCAAACAAACAAAAAACAAAACAAAACAAAAACAAACAAACAAAAAACAAACAAACAAAACACCCCAAAAACCCACAAAAAATCCCAAACCACTAAAACCCAAACCCCAGCCAAAACTGAAAAATCCAAACCAGAACTGACAACAAGAGAATTTCTATGGAGTTTTACTTAACGTTGTGTTGATTTAGATACATGTACACTTCTGTAGAAAACTTTAATAGAGGATTTAGGATAACATGAGCTGCAAAAGCCACCGAAAGCCTTAAGTGTGCAAAATACTGTTCGTCACATTTCCCCCCTGACTGCCAAACCAGTACAGACAGGTATCAGAGTGGGGCAAAGAAGAGTAGAAACCAGGCTAGAAATACTTCTCTATTCTTACCTCCACAGTTCAAAAGCTAACCCAAACTTACCACTACAACATGAAATTGAGAAACCCAGAGAGCCACCAGCACACCAGTCTAACAGTCGCCTGTTGTAGGGAACAAAAACAAAGCCCCACCATTGGAAAACACTGAAAACTAGATATTTTTTGTTTACAAACATAACAAGCTATTTACTGCATCAGGATTCCTGAATCTGGTTTCTTGAGGCAAGTAAGAAAGCTTCAGTTAATGCCCTTTGGCCACCAGAGTTGTTTGCTTTTAACTGTACACTAAACAGAAGAGGGTGTGCAAAAAGCACTTTAATGCACACAGTTGTACACCTGTGGAGAGGCAGGTTGGTTTTTTTTGTTTGTTTGTTTTTTTGTTTGTTTGTTTTGTTTTTTTTTTTTTAAAAAAAACCTTTTCCTCTCCGTGGTTGTTCTGCTGCAGGCATCTCGCCCACAGCACATCTGTGCAACACAGAGTAAAGACTTGTGGTGCTTTCCACTTCATCCGTGTTTCTCTCCCTCACTCCCCCCTCAACCAGCATCTCTCTGTAGACTGTCTTTAAAAAAAAAAAAAAAAACAAACAAACCAACCAACCAACCAAAACCCAAACTTAAACCCACTACCTCTTCAAGCAACTGCTTAATACATGGACCTGCAAGAAAGGAAATTCCCAAAGCACATCTGCTGAAATACAGCCACTGTTCACCATCTTAACCTAGGACCCCATTTTGGATTTGTCTGAAATCAGTTTTTAGCTGAATATTTTTTGAAGATGACAACCAAAGCAGACCACAGGGGACTCCAGGAAGAGATTTCTCAGATTAAGACAAGTTGGAAAATATTCCTGAAGGTTTTGCCAAATTACAGATTTTCAAAAATGTTTATGAACTTTGAGACTTCATGATGAGCTGCGGTGCCAAGGGGCAGGTGCCTCAGTCCCTGGGCAGAGAAAAAAACATCAGTTAGTATACTTCAGTAAATTTTATAGTAATGTTATAATAAATGATATTGTAATGATATATATCATTTAATATATCGTGTATCAGATATTTAAATGTCTAATACAGTTGTCATTAATATGCTTTGTTGTTAAATTCTAAAATACAGAGCAACTCACTGCATTGTGAAAGAAGTTGCAAAGATGCTTTGCCCATGGACACCTGAAAAACAGATACAGATTCTTAATCCATTTTCTCATCGGGACACACCTGCCCCCCGCCTCAGCCACTCCGAGTTCTGCATCGATCAAAGCTTTACAAGAAGGCTAATCCAATAATTCAGCTTCCAAAAAACGGAGATGAGTTCAGCATCAGAGGTACAGTAAAATAATTAAGACAAAGATAGACCTTAAGAAACAGGATTTCATCAGATGCTCTTGGGCCACTGCCAGAGCATACTGTGAAGCCTCACAAAACAAGAGAATCGATGGAATTGCAACTTCGTTAAATACAGCTTAGCTCATACACAACTGCATGAAATTAGGTATTTTATTTTCTCAGCTACACACAGCAAAGGCCGGAGAGAAGAGACAGAAGCATTTCACAACACAGCTCAATTTACACATCCACAGTTACCACTTAAGACAGTTACTAAGAGGTGAATTCTCCACATTACTCTTGCTGTCATCGGCTACGTGTGAATTAAAAGTGCCAGAGCAGGCAATTACTCTGCCTTCTGATATACAACCACAGAGTCAATTCATTTTAAAGCTATTATGTCAATACATTAATGTCTATCACTCTAAAGCCTCTAATGCTTTACTGCATAACTCGGGAGAGCAAGGATTATACTTATAAACAGCCAGCAGTTTCAAAAGTGACATGTCCATGTCTTATTACCATCTGTAAACTAAATAAAGAACTCGGACTTTTAACTCTGTTTTCCCAATGCACTGAAGCTTCGTGCTGCTGCAGAGCAAGCGGTCTCTCTTCTTTTTAAAAGAGGGTAAGAACGACAGGCACAAACCTAATGCTGACCTTAGTTTGCATTACAATGCACATATGTTTCTGAATCTTTAGGTTCTGGTGGGGATCTACTCCCTCACCACCACGTGAAGCATTTCTTACAAGTTTAAAAGAAACGACATCTATACACCCACTGTATTCTCGTAGATACACAGTAAGATACATTTTGAGCTACTTTCAACTATTTTCTCTAAATAAAGTTTTTTGCTGTATTACACCCCCTTAGAGTCTAGTAACTACTCTGCTGCAAGTCCTAAGTAAGGTTTTTTGGCTGTAGTTGATGACAATGGCCTTTAAGTAACAGAACTAGGCTGTACCATAGGCAATCCTGATGACTTGTCATGGTTGCCAAGATCAGAGAACATGTTTTCTTAACATCGGGCACTGGGAAGCGAGAAGGCCATTTGGTTGCAACAGGTAACAGAACAATTTCAAATCTACCCAAAATAGCATGTTCAGTATCTTTACCACTGCTAATAACAGGGAAGAATAAAAAAAACAAGAAGGAATGAGTTAAGAGCGTTAATTAAAAGAAAGCAACCATCCGTGTTGCAACACGCAATGATTTTCTACTTGCTTATGATGAAGATTCACACTTACATATGCAGATTCTCCATAATAATATTCAGAGTGAACAGGCCAATGGATTGCATCTCCTTATGTCTGCACGTCAGGAACAGGCAAAGGAATTCACCCACATACTGGGGACCAAGGTTTTGCCACCTAAGCAACATAAAACCAGGAAACAGAACACAGCTGTTCAGCAGCACAGATGACTTTCCTGTTGATTTTTAGCATCTTATTTTCACTCTTCACTTACCTGCAGCACTGGGCTGTTTGGTTTCAAAGAGCTAAGGATTATCTCTGCTAAACATTATTGCTGCAGGACTGATCTTACTGTTCCCATAAACAGACAGACTGCAGGGAGCAAGTGTTTACTCACAGTTTTAGCATTGCTGCTTTCTGACAATGTAGATCTCTCAAAATCAGGTTGACAATGCCATGGAGAACATGTTCTTCATAGGAAAGATGGTCCAATAACAGCCTCAGAGCCCAGAAGTTACTCTAGGAAGAGACAAAATAAGACCAGTGATTTAACCTAATGGTCAATCATTTCTTTAAAAACAGACTAAATTACAGGTCAGCAAAGCTAAAGGGGAACAAAACCAAGTTAAACGCGTCTAAAATCTCCAAGTTGGTACTACACAGATTTTAAATATTGCTTGCTTTAATCTCTTAGAACAGAAATCAATATTTAGGACTCACCCCAAAAGCCAGGACTATCTCTAAAAAGGAAGTCAAGTATGGAAGATCACAAAAAAGCATCTGCTGGATTGCTTGCACTGCCAGAATAAGACAAGCCTCATGGCGAAACTACAGGAAGAGATATCAACAAGATGAGATAATATTTAAAAGCCCACTTTCACACTACTTGAGCATCCTATCCAGTCCATTCCAATCAGATAGGCTGGATGTCAGACACGACATCCACAAGAATTTCATGAAGATTAAAAGAAGGGGGACTAGAACAGGTACTTCTATTTATAGATCGTGTTTCATCTGGTACTCTCGAAGTCCTCACAGAAACACAAAGTCTCACACCATCGCAGGAACAGAAGTAGAATTAAAGGGCAAAAAATTTCTGGCTCAGAAGTCACATAAGTAAGCTAAATTTCCTCAAAAGGATTAAAGAAGAATAAGATAGCTCTTTAGATGCATCGACTGTATTTTATATAGAATATATTTCAAGCCATCTTTAAACATGTTCCACTATACCTGAAGCTGTAATTCAGAATAAGTTTAGAAATTCTGAGCCATTCTGAGTTTTGAGACAAGCACACTGACAAGTCTTAAAGGATAGTCTCCTGTTTGAATCAAACAGCAGAAGATCACCCTACAAGAAGTTAAGACAGAATCAATTATTACCAGTCCTCCCACTTTATAAATGCATACATTTGGACAGCGATAAAGTTAAGACTTGTCTTAGGTTGAAGATGGTGTCAGACCAGAACAGGCCCTAATAGTTTTCTTACCTTCAGATATCTGCTCTTGCACTTAGTCTGTGCTAAGAACAGTCTTATGCCAATTCCCCCCTCAAAAATTAAGTCCCTTCTTAAAAGCTTTTCATAATAATCCAACCGGTTTTCAATACTGCTGTATCTTCAAGCACAGTAACACAAAAGGTAATTTTCCCCATTGCCACGTGCACACTTACATGAGGAGAGAAAATAGCAGGTGGTAAACAAACATTAATTTTTGCCTTCAGTTCCTCCAAGAGGCCACCACTGGCAGCGAGCACCCCCTGCAATAGAAGTAATGAGTCACCAGTAAAGGGGATGGACATCCAGATACTCTACAAACATCAAACAGTGCCCAAGGTAGTTCTTTAATGTGCTTTTGCTTATTTTTTCCAGCATTTTTACAGAGGAGGTTGACTGTTCAACATCATACTCAAGGAAAGTTGGGGGTCCACCAAACCATATGGTAGATGTGATATGGTTTGGTTAGTCTACCAGCACTAACCAAACCATAATCACATAACCACCTTGTTTCGACCCACTATGCTTAGCAGACAGCCATTTCTGCTCTTGTGAATACTCAGATGCTGATTCTTTAGGACTACCTGAACACAGTTTTCTTAAACGGCCTTCCTACCCGTTTTGTTATCTGATCCATCTCAGCATTAAAAGATATTGAATCAGTGTCAAGCACTGAGCTGCAAGCAGAATTAATCAATTTACTGTTGCATTTAACGCTCCTGAATCACAACTTTTTGCAAAGTGTTACATTTGGCTCACACCACAAGAGTATTTGATGAGGCACTGTAAAGTTAACCCCAGTATTTAGAGGAACGAGCCAATGCCCAGGATCAAACGAAGTCTTGTATGAAACCAAGACAACAGATCCTCCCATTTCACAGTACTGCTTCAGCTACCTTTTGGAAGTCAAGTGGCGGCTCTTTCAGGGATAGGGGATGTAGGCGCCCGCTTTTTTCCAGGAAACTGCTACTACCCAAGGTCATGATGAGGGAACTCCAGCATTTAGGCTGAAACACAGCAGAACATTTGCTTTACTAAGTCAAATCCCACCAGAGGTGTAAACTATTCAGAGAGAAAAGGGTTCTGATAGCAAATCCTTGCATTAGAGAGGTAATTAGAACAGGTAGTAGACGAAAACACTCACAGAAACACAGTTTTAACACAGACTCACATTCCTGTATAGTGACACATTGCTGTAAAGGAGTTTGAGTGCCTGCTTAATTAGAACACCATCTTTCAAGGGAGACCCTGTAAGAAGAAAAAAATTAAAACCATATTTTATATTCCCACAATAACTATAGGGTGTGAATACAAACAAGGTATTATCTTAATTACAGATATGTTTCTACAGAAACCTAACAAAAAGAAACAAACGAGTGTCTACAGCTATTTTACAGGTTCTGAATAGAAAGATAACATCAACTGTAAAACATTATGCTGGAAAGCTGCAAAGAACCGAAAGTAATTTAGACTAAGCCACCACAGAACAAAGTCTCCATTATGTACACCACACCACAGTACAGCGCTGTACCCTCTCCGTATCTCCCACACCTCAGAATTCCACTAGCCGCTGAACGGCTCCAAAATAAATCTTTCGTTTCAGAATACACCTTGACAAGTAGCACACACCAAGACAGATGATCGCAGTTGTCTGTGGCTAAATTAATGACATAATTTAATACACAGATCACGAAAACCTTTCCATCAGGAAGTTTTTAGTCTCAAGGTCAGGGCTAAGACATACCCTAAGGCCAAGTTACACACTGCCATCGGCAACACCATGATGTAACAGAGAGTTTTGTATTTTCTTTTAATAGGGTGCTTTCAGCAAAGCAACTTCACAGCTGACAAAACTAGCATTTTGTGTTTAGTGTACTAAACAAATTAATCCACAAATATAAAGCCATTCTTCCCGCCTCGTGTTGTGCATCGTGCTTTAGTCCAGACAATTTATAAGTTGGGTTCAGAGTCCCTGAATGTTACTAGATTTCATGAATAAGTAAAAGCTGTAATTAAGTAAGGTTTTAAACCCATGGAAGCAAGAAATCACACTTGCCAACTGTAATCCAGGGCCCGGAGTCCAGCATATCCTTTCCAGTGGGGACGCTGCCTGTTCTGAACATCTTCAGGTAGACCTCAAACTGAAAAGGCGTTACCCGGCAGGCGGTGCAGCAGGCGAGGCTGTTGATGGGGAACAGCAGCGAATGGGCAGCATCGAGGAAGTCTCCGGTTTTACACAAGTAGAATGGGATTTTATCTCGAAGGTCCCTTAACCTGGAAAGAAGGATGAAACGAGTATTTGATTTTTCATTACCTTGATAGTTTTAGAATAGGGATGTATAGACCTGCTTATGCTTGACCACTCGTAAACTACATCAGATGAGGCAGAAGTTGCAACGCAGTATTATTGCTTTCACTGGGCAAACAGCTGCCCAAATCCTACTGCTTTTCATTCTGCCAGTTTATTGTACGTCGAAGAAACACAGACTGGGACACAACCACAAGGCAAAGAAGCAATTACAAAAAATAAAAGGAAAAAAAGCCATTTACCGTTTGGTATCATTGCATTTCACAGCTCTCAGGTAGCGGACAACTTCTTTAAAGCTGGAGAGAAAACGAGAGGGTGAGTAGGAAGAAGAAATACAAAACTATATGCAGGTCAATCAAATATTTCCCACAATTAATGAAGCAAAACTGTAGATCTTGCCACGGAAGAGATGTTGCACAATAGGACAGAAATACAACTGGCAGAAGGAGACTGTTGGCAATAAGTTCCAAGAAGCTATCCACAGATTATCTCTCTACTCTGGCAAAATAATACAGGAGGTTGCTTTTCAATTTAATTCTTTATGTGGAGTGTATTCTTTTCAACACAGACTTCTCAAGATCCAAAGACCAGAATGCACTTTTTTTGCTGCTTTCTACCTAATCAGCCTTTGGTGAACAGAATTTATTTTAAAATCAACATCTAAAGCCAACTGAATTTATGGAAACAAAGAAATTAATCCACTTCAACACTCTTTTCTGGTCCTGGAGCGTTCAAAAGGCTCGATACTACTTTGAAAAACTTCAAAAACTGGCCTTGTTGATATGAAGCAATGGGCATGGACAGCTTCAAATGAGTCTTGATTCTGTACATTTCCCCATTACACAAAGCTGCAGCTGTTAGGAAAACACCATACCGTGGTCAACACCATGCAAGATGTAAAAGTTGAGTTCATAAAATGAAAAATCCAAAACAAGACCAAACCGATCTTACTTGCTTTTGTCTACCAGTCTCTCCACTCGAGCCTCTATAACAGAGAGTGTTTCCCACAGAAATACTTTTTTTCCTTTCTGTGTTCTTTGACCAGTGACATTCTGGCCTTTTAAAACAGTGGTCAATAACACATGGTCCCATGGCACAACATTCAAGCTGCAAGTACAAAATGAAGTCATTTCTAAACATGTTTTGTTTGTACACCACAATTTATTTCCCTTAAGTAACATGAAGGTTTAACAATAAAACATTTTGAGGTTTACAGCGCATTTCTGGGATGGGAGGGGGGAGGAAAAGCTATATGGACAACAACTTAGCCATAGCATCAAACAACAACTTTTCGTATGAGGACAGGACAAATACAAAGCAGCTAATACTGAAATCTTCCTATAAAATGCTCACACCTAACACTATCAGTGAAAGAACCATTCTATATAGCTGTTTGCAGATCAGGCAACTGTATAAAAAGATATTCTGTACACAAAAAACAAAGAACATACCTATTTGAGAAGCCAAAACAGTGACATGGAAGTGAGATGGACTGAAAAAAATTAACAAACTTTTCATACAAATTTTTTGGAAAGTCACACAACACCAGCATCCTCTGAAGTTGTGTTGTGATCCTATGTTTTGAAAAGAAAAAAAAAAAAAAAAGAAAAATCAAAATCTCTTAAAATCAGATGAATTACTAGTAAATTGTTGCATTTTTTTTAATCCTATGGGGAACTTTTCTACAGAAGTTTTGTGTTTTTTTTGGTTAGATGTCAGACAGTTTGGATCTCAATTTAAATTTATGCTTTAATATTTGTAGTGAATAACGGATTTGCTCTTTTGTTATTATTTTTAAATACCAGTATCACGGTTTAACCCCAGTCAGCAACTAAGCACCACGCAGCTGCCCAGTGGGATGGGGAGGAGAAATCAATTAAAGAAAAAGTAAAAATTGTGGGTTGAGATAAGAATGGTTTAATAACTAAAATAATAACAATTAAAAAATATAACAACAATAAAAACGAATAAAATGGAAAAAGAGAAATAAAACCCAAGAAAAGACAAGCGATGCGCAGTGCAATTGCTCAGCACACGCTGGCCGATGCCCCGGCAGCGATCTGCCCCCCAGCCAACTCCCCCCAGTTTCTACCCTGAGCGTGATGCCCCGTGGTATGGAGTAGCCTCTGGCTAGTGCAGGCCAGCTCTCCTGGCCATGCTCCCTCCCAGCTCCTTGTGCACCTCCTCGCTGGCAGAGCACGAGAAACTGAAAAACCCTTAACTTAGGATAAGCGCTACTTAGTGACACCTAAACCATCAGTAGGTTATCAACATTATTCTCACACTAAATCCAAAAGACAACACCTATACCAGCTACTAGGAAGAAAATTAATTCTATCCCAGCCAAAACCAGGACAACCAGTGAAGCCAGGGTTCTGTGGCTTTAAGTTTTAAAACAAAGGTCCCCAGTAAGAATACGCAACATGCGCTGCAGCAACACATGATGAGCGCGATCAAATCAACTTGAGCTCCTGACAGCTTCACAGCTAGTGAAACCATTTGTGTCTTAACTGAAAACTGGAGATAACACACTGACACAAAGAGGAGTTTACTCTTTTAGAATTGGAGGAAGGAGACAAAAAAAAATTCTTCTCCCTGTTCTTTTAAAGTAAGAAGTTAAAGAATTCAAGAATAGTAATTTAAAATGAAAACTGATATAGGATTTAGGTTACACCTGTCATTAGTTTCAGATAAGAGGTGAGAATATATAATTGTTTTTGAGTGCTCCTCAAAAAAGTTAATTCTTAATTCATTAACCTTCTGTTGCAAGTGAATTTCGGGTTAAAGGTGAAATATAAAGCTAAAATGAGAAATGGATTAAGCCAAGTGAGCTCGATGTCCTCATTCAACAGCCTCTGGGGGAACTTTACTATGTTACATCCCTGACTACTCCATCCCAGTGGAGTACTACAAGGCTGCTGTTTTGATCTTTAACAGACACTATTTACTCTTCAGCTTAATAACCACAAGTAGCTACCCGACACCACCTTCTGGTCTGGCCTTACAGAACACTCTTAGACCGCAGCCGAAAAGAAATCCATCTTCTTGGCTTTGAGTTCCCCATTGAGTTATTCTCCTTTGAGGCAACAAAGAAGGGTTTGACTGTTTATTTGGCTCTAAATAAGGCAAGTATTGCCCTTGTCCTTCACAGAAAGGAAGTCATATTCAGCAGAGCTTGTAAAACTCCTGATTTGTGGTGTACAACTGTAGAACCTGAGCGCACGCTGAGGTCCCTGCTCATTAGGCTGACCGGTGCATGTTGTTTGCGTTCTTCTGCCTGTCCCTACATCTGCATTCTACACGCAGGCAGCAGCAGGCTGCTCTTGCTCTGCTCAAACAGTACCCAAGACAGTACAGTGGGGTCGTGTTCCTGATGCTACAGAAACCATAAGATTAGATACCCTTAGCAAGTTTACCTCTGGCTTTTAAGAGCCAAGGCACTCACTTTTTTCTTCATGCCTTTGAACAGAAGTCACTTGAAATGCATTTTAAATGCAAGTAGAAAGTTCGCACCCAGCAACCATCCCATTGCCATTCTCATCATATGAGACAATCTTACCTTTGCAACAGACAAGGGACAGCAATCTTTAATGAAGCAGTATGACCAAGGTTCTGCCAGCTTCTAAGAGAGGAGGAAAAAAGCACTAATTAATGTTTGGCTTGTTTTCCTGCTTTCCTCCTTCTCCATATTCAACTGCTTAAGAAAACACTTTTTTCTTAAAAAGCATCGGGACCCATCATGCTAATAAAAATTATTTCCAACAGGTGAAACAAGTGCTCCAAGTGTACAACACATTCTAGAATTAACACTGCTTTACAACAGTACCTAACCAACTGAAGCATACCTCCCCCACCCCAAGCAGTACCAAATCTTCTAACCTGCTGTATTAGACCATCATGGGCACGTTTTTGCTTTTATGGGGCCTCTGAACCGCTGTAGATCATCACCCCATGAGAGGGCCAAACCACATCCCCTGTAACTACAGTGAATGCTGCAGGACTCCTAATAAGCCTTAGAGACCTACCCAAATAATGTATCCAGCCTGCTCCTTGCAAACATTAACAGTTATTCAGAAAGAATTAGAGAGAAGCTGCTGCTTCTAGCCTGTCAAAGTCACCCAGACCACGTCTATTCCTTTACAAAAAACCTTGAATTCAAGCCCCAGCACATTCAGGTTTTACAAAGCAAAGCTCTGCAACCTGGCTCAAGCTAGACAGCAATCAAGCATGAAACGGCCACGATATAAAGAAGACCGAAGTATATAAATTCAGGTTTTATTTATTTATTATGCAGTCTTCCCAGCTGACAGGTCAGTCTCCAGACTTACAGGAGGCATCTAAAACGTATTACCCAAGGAACGCCACATCCTCCCTTCCTTCCAGGTCAGCAGCAGATGTTTCTACACACAATGCAGCTTGCACACTCTCTGCTCAGGAAAGCTCCCCGTCCCTGTTCCTTTTCCTAGGGAATTAACCCCACATGCCACCATCTGCTGTCTGTCACCTTCCCTCCTCTCAGTTCCCATCTCAAATTCCTCCCCCTCATTGGAGATCACCTCCCCTCCTCATGACTCACTCCCACTCAACTTCTTCCTCTCACATCCAATGTTTAACCTTTTCTTTTCCCCAGAACCCCTCCCTGTAACCAATTCATTTCTCCCTCGGATGTACTCATTTTCTTCTCACTGTGCTGCAGCCAGGGCTGTGATCTTTACACTGTCCTTACTCTTAATAAACAGAAAACCAGAACGCTCTCACTGCATCTCCTCCCTTTGAGGAGCAAATGAAGATTACACACTCGATGTGAAACTGAATACTTACAAAGCAGGGTCTTTATGAAGTGCTATCTCTTTAGCTGCTCCCAGAAACATGACAGCAGCAGCTTTAGGACTCTCTCTCTCTGCCTGACTTAAAAAGCTTGTTACCAGTGCAAAAACTCCAGAATACCTAAGAAAGTTAAGTAGTCTGTAAGACAAGGTGTTTGCAATGATGTATTTCATAAACAAATGGCAATTGTGACTATTCTACAGTTTGAGAGCAAATTGACTTGCCTTTCCTTGAAAAGCATCTGTAACACAATGAAAAGATATTTGCACAACCATTACTTTAAGCATTTTTAAAGGCACATACCATTGAGTAAAAGCTGAACCCCATTCTAAAAATCAAATTAGTAAAAACATGAGCTTTACTTTCATGCTTTCCCAGGTTATAATAATGAGGGATATAATCAAGGGTCTGTGTATAGCACAAGAGATGTATTTTAAATTGTGTCTAAAGTTGTATTTAAGGGAGTTTTAACTACATCTGAGTGCAATTTAAGAGCTCACTGGCCAAGCAAGCCCTCTCAATTATGTTTCTGCTGTATCAGGTGCCATGATTCTGATTATCGCTTGACTAAAGGAAATCAAACCTGCACTGACCAGCATGTACTGATAGTAGCCGAGTTCTGTTGTCACTTACTTGTACACAACCTCCATGTTGCGTGATCTGCAGATATTGCATTGCCCAGGAAGCAATTTTGGGAGGCAAAAGCATTCATGTTGTGTGGGAGGTATTCTTTCTCCAATCAGATACTTATTATATTCCACAGAAAGTTCCTGGATAAATTTTATTAGAAGACTTCCTAAGAGAACAGATGTGAAACTTTTAGTGCAATCTTCTATTGTTTCAAAACTAAAAAGACAATCATAAGTACCTCATGTAAAATATTTATCAAGTTACTTGCACCCAATCTTACTGGCCAGAAAAGCATTGCTGGTTCTTCCACAGGGAGGAAAGCAGGAACGCACACAAACTGGACTTGCAGACCTGTGTCTGGTCTACGTATGGCCCAGAAAGAGAGTAGCAACAGTAAGCTGTTATCTTAAAAATTCATCAAGCCTTTTCAAGGAGAGTTGTGGACCAGATAAGCTGTCCTTCAGGCTACAGACCGAGTAGCCACAGGTGTCCCAGGACAGTATGAGAGCATAATACCATAACACTTACCACCACGTCGAAGATCTGCATCTATATCTGTGAGCTCCAAATTGAACATTACAAGAATACCAGCCAAAGCAAAGTCACGCTGGTCCTTCCAGAATTTGCTTTTGTTGTGTGCATTGCAGTGACAGAGGGAAGGGGTTGTCCAATTCTGGCACTAATTCATAAAACATGAAAAACAAGGAAAGGGGTTTTTTGGTGTTTTTTTTTTTTTTCTTTTTTTTTTTTTTTCTTCTTCCCCCCCTCCAGTTTTGGATATCAAAATTTAGTTCCTCCGAGTGAAGGACTACAATTCTATTTCATCCTTTACACACCTAGGCAAAGCCACAGTGAAGTATTTTGACAGTCAAGGCAAGAGGCCAATATGGTGATTACTTGATATCAGGGCTAACAAAAAAAAAAGCCTATAGTAATTTACCCTCGTTCCTGAATACCTTACTGAGACACTTAGGGCTGGCACCCTCCCCGCTGTAAACTGGTAACAATTGGTCTGTGTGTGTTCACCCCAACTTTGCTCACAGTTCAGTTTTCTGAATTCTAAGAAAAACCCAAACAAACATACACCACAGTCCCAATTCCCACAACTCACCCGCTCCCTCACCCTAGGTTAAGACAGTCTAAATGTCTGACATTTCTCTAGTGCAAGTGAGAAGCAATCTCATTTAGTCATTTGATTCCATGAAATAGTGTGCCTAAAGCAAACAGGAGGTATATTTGCTCATAGCAAGTGAGTGTCTGCTCCAACAACTGGCCAGACCAGTAGAACTAAACCCAGACAGTGACCACATTTTTAGTAGCATCATGAAGCAGACAGATATCAACATTTAGGTCAGGAACTGTTAAAATAATCAAATTTCATATATCATTATTCTTTTAGTGTGCTTGAGTGTTTGTTTTTAAAGACTGTTGAGTAATTTAGTTTACTCAAAGTTGTACGTTTCTGGATTACAGCTCTTCTTACCTCAGAAGCTAGTTTATCACAAATGTAGCAGTAGCACTGATTACAAATATCAGCATTTTTTCCAAGGGGTGAGCACGTATCACACTCCGTTCGCCTACAAGTTGAAAAACAGAAAGCTACTTATGAAACAAGTTACATGCTTGTCCAATGCTACTTCTGCTTTCAGCTGTTTAAAAAAGCTAGCAAGGTTACTTAACAAGATGGACTAAACGTGAAAAATTAAACCCTCATCTTAACCTCCACAACACTGAACATACTCAAATGGCTGTATTGTACAGTCATATCTTGCATGAGGCATCACTTTTGCTTGTTTACAGAAAGTGACCATTAGTTCACATTCCTCATCCACAACTTCCTGTTTCTCCTCTTCCAGGGCAGACTTTTCTGTAGAAAAGAGAATATGTGGTGTAAATCAGTATGAAGGTAACTACAACCTCATTAAAAATTTAACCAGCCATTAACATTTACTTTTTAAAACCCCTGCAAGGCACAAATTTTCTTATGATTTCCTGTGGTGCCAAGAGGAATAGTAACACTGGCCCAGGAGAAAAAACTTCCACACACTATTAAGACAGAGGTAATTTAATCAAAAAGGATCCAATCAACATTGAAAAGGCCTGGTCTCAACTAGGTCTGTAATATTTTGAAACTACACAACTGTAACCTTTAAGGTAATTAGTGCCATCAAAGAAATCCCAGAAGTTAGGAAATAGTGACAGTTCCTCCTGGTTTTATTTATTTTTCAAGTATTTTGCTTTCCTAGCAGCATTTCAAGCACATCACATAACAGTTTATTTCAACTTCAGTTGACTTCAGTTATTTCAAAAGTTCTTTGCAGAACTTCATTGCCAACAGGAGCACAGTACTTACCCAGTGGGTCTACTAACAGAACTGAATTCCCAAGCGTGCTCTCAGCTTCATCATCACTGATCAGGATTATGCTCTGCTCTTCCTCTTCTCTTTTCAACGGCCCCATGGTTATTGAGCTCCAAAGGATAGAAACTACTTGGCAGTTAGTAGGACACAAGGATAGTTCCCACTCTGAAGGTCCTCTCCTCAGGAAAGGAAGAAAAAGACTTCTTTAAGACACAAACTCTTCATCCGCATCGAGTCAGTTACACGAGGGACAGAATTGTTCAACCGTTAGTGCAGTCAGCGGCTCAAAACACACTGCAGTTCCCATCCAGAACTGAGAGAAGCCTAAAAGCAGGGAGGTGGGAATAGAAGAGGAAAAAAAAACAAACCAAAACAAAAAACCCCATGAAAGCTGGCATTCATCTGGTGGAACCACCCTTGAAAGAACCATCTAACAACTCCTGTTATTCACAGTAACTGAACTGCCCCTGGCAGTGCGCGCTCAAGGCACCAGTGATGCCCAGCACAGACCCTCCCGCTCCCTCCCCCTCCCCAAACAAGCGCCACCCCCCTCCCCAAACCCTCTCGCCCCACAACTCGCCCCCCCCCCATCGCCTCAACTGCCCCCCAACCAGCCGCATTCCCCCCCACCTGCCTCCTCCTATCCCTAACCCACCCCCCAAACCAACCGCCCCCCCTCCCCTCCCAATTCCTACCCCTTCTCCACGGGCGCTTCCCCCCTCACCGTGCAACCCCCGCCTCAGCCCCGCGGCCCCCGACTCGCCCAACACCCGCCACTATTTGAACCAGCGAGTGCTTCCGGGGCGGCGACCCCGGAAAAGGGCTCCGCGCGGTGACGCTCATCCGCGCTACTTCCGCCCTGGCAGCGGCCGGGCCGAACCGCGGCGGGGCCGCCATATTTAATGAGGGCAGGAGCGGTAGCCCTCTCAGCGCGGGCCCGGCTGCCGGGCTTCCCACGGCGTTTAAATAAATCCTTCATCCCCCGTAGGCGGGAGAGCGAGAGGGAAACCGGCATCAGCGCAGGGCCCTCTTGATGCATGAGGGGGGAAAAAGGAGGTGGCGGAGCGCCATTGCATCTCTTGCGGCCTTCTGCGGGGCACTTTGGTGGCCCAGGCCCCACGGGAGACAGCCTGCACGCACGCCCGGCTGTGTGCCCCCAGAGACCTCCCCACAGCCGGGAGAGTGCTTTCCCTTCCAGTCATCCCGAGCCATCGTGGCTCGGACAGCAGCTGCCGGCAGAGGAAACGTTTTCCTCGCACGCGGTCACCCCTCGTCACCACGTTCTGTCGCGACAGGCTTTTCCCGCTGCACGCCCAGCAGGAGATCGGCGAGGAAAAGGCCGCATCCAGCAGCTGAGGATTTCCCCAGGAACACTAGATGGTACCAGAGCTCCACACAGGCTCAGACAGGACCCAGCTGGACAGAAAGTACCTCAAAAATGGAAATTCTGAAACACGGAAGGCTGAAGATGTAAAGCTGCAATATGTGAATAAGCTGTTGGCAAAGTAATCGCTTTTTTCTGTGGGAAAAAGTGGACAGGGGAGTTGCAGATACAATAAGGAGATTTTTGTGGTGTTCAGGGCAACAAGTGTAACCGTATTTGTGGTTAAAAGTTATCAGTAAAGTGAAGGTATTACAGCACCTGGTAGGGAAACATTTGAAGACCAATTCTCAGGGAATTTTTCATTAATGTTAATTAGTAATAGTTAAGGAAAATCTAGGAAGTGTTTTAACTTAAGCAGAAACTGCCATTACATCATAAAAATGAGGTACATTCCTGGTTTCATTAGTATTAGGATTGAAACAGCACTCAGAATATGATCACCTTTTTCTCTAGGCAGCTGCACACATTGCAACGTGCTGCCTGAAATATTCATGTGTTAAAAAAAAAAAAGTCTTCCTGCAAATGAATATTTATTCCATGAATAATCTTTAATGTCTTTGTAGCTTTCAACACATGTGGGCAAAATGTTTCAAGTTTCTGTGCTTACAATGAAAAATCTAAACCCGACACCTAAATAGGTGGCCTGATTTCAGCTGTACGGAGCACTTTCAATAGAGACATAATTTCCTTCATATAGTTGCCTCTGCAGCATGACAGCATTTTAGCAGCCTTGAGTAACTCAACACAGCAATTTAGGTGATGAAATGAAGTATTGAGATAGCAGGGAGAAATAATAAAGGCAGCCCTGGCGCTTGGCCAGAATAATTTTTCTAAAACTCCACTCTCATGCAGAAGTCCTACGAGATGATCTTATGGCTAAATATGGTCAGGACTTCAGTGCAGCGCCTCATCCAAAACACAGCAACGCTGGTGTTTCCTCTCTTCCCAGATGAAGAGTTGGCGTCGGCGTCCTATTTTTAGTGGTGTGGGTGTAAAATATGTTGGTTAGATTTCACATCGCCTGAGCTCAGGCTGCTCTGCCATGTCGGGTTTCGTGCCCAGACCTGGCAAAGCTCGAGGTCTGGGACCGATATCACAGGCTCTTCCTCCATGATCTTCATATTTAGGTCAGTGTCTTTTGCATTTGGGGTGAAGAGTCAGCTCTCCTGCTCCTTGCACCCGTAAGTCAAACGTAACACCCCGTCTTGAGCCACAAGCTGCGTGATGTAAATAAAAAAGAGAAAAAGCTTCCAGTGAACTCCCACAGTCACAGTGAGAGGACCAGCGATGAGGCTGGCGCTCAGTCCATTTCAATGGCCAGCAAGAGCTGGTTCATAAGGTGTTAGAAATGTCTCAAAACATATCTTGTAGTGGAAATAGATCCTTCTGCTCATGTTTTGGCACGAGAGCAACAGCTTTCCCATCCCCTCGCAGCACAGACTGCTTTGCCGTGCGCTTGCCTCTGCCCCTTTCTGGGCGAAGGAAGCGGGAACTCTGTGCTGCTGCTGGCTGGGGCTTGGCACAGCACGGGGTCATGTCTGTCAGCTGCCTGGAAGGGGAGCAGAGATTTGGGAATAAAGAAGATGAGGGCATATTTGGGGATATCTGGTAATCTCAGAATAAAGGAGTGGGATATAGATAACCAGTAGCTGCAGGCTGGAAGGAATACACAACGCCACGCATCAGTAAAGCTGCTACCGGCTGTTGGGACTCTGCCTATCATTTTCCCCACAGAGTCTGCCATGCTCTTGATTTATTTTACAGGTGTGAAAGGGTTCCAGACTGGACCCACGTCAGTGCTTTCAGGAGGTTTGACAAGGAGCAGTCTGGACCAGGTCAGGGCATTAACTGAAGATGCAGAAGACTTCTGCTGCCTGGGAATGAACAGCCAGGGGCCAGAGGAATGGGTTTCTATCCACCAGCTCCTGAAGTGGAAAGGGAATTTCTCTGCTGTGGAGTGAACAGACCATTAAAATGTCCTTTCAAAAAAATGTTCACGTCCCATTTATATTTACTGCTGCTTCATTCTGTTGAAAGTCAAAGGCCCATTTGTACCCGATGAAAGGCTTGGGGTAGATCAATTGACTGGAAAAGCCTCTCAGGATCGAAACCTACAATTCCACATGGACAAGTGCTAATCCATCAGTCTGCTGAGCCCAACCAAGGTGCCACAGGTCTTTCCAGGCACCTGGCGCTGACTCATGTCATGGCTCTTGTGCTTGTTTGGCCCAGAAAAGGATGTTCAGTGCTGGAACTGTAAAAGAAATTCTTATAAGTGAGCTTCTGGGAAAAGAGTTGTGGTCTTTTCTAGCTACCTTTGGCATCTTTGCAGATTCATTGCCTCTGTTAACGGGCAAACTTTCTGTGGTGACATGAAGGCAGGTTCCCCCCCTGCTTTAAACTTTGAAGTGCCTCCTAGGGCATTGCAGTGGGGGGTTGTCTGCTGTATGGAATCAGCTCTGCTCAGGTTTCATAAGGAAACAAGACTTACATGATTATAATGTGCGTATGAGTGAATGACAGGCCCTGTTTATATCCTGATGTTGCCAAGATGGGAGGAAACCATCCTTGTCATCCAAAAACCAGGATCCAAGAGGAGGGGTTGAGGAAAAAAAACATGCCTCACTGTGCAGGGGGAGGGAAATGGTAGCAGAACAAGGAAAACTGGTTAGCTCGGGGCCTGCCCTAGCAGCTCTCTGCCTCCATCTAAAGAAGGAACAAACATTTACTGGAACCCTGATTTTGTGAGGAAATGAGATTTCTGTGGTGATTGCCTGTGTATGAGTGCATGTTTCCCTCACAGCCCCAACCCCAGTAATTACTGAATTCTGGTGCCAGTTGCAACCAAATGGACAGGAGGTAAAGATCCCAAAGGTAACAAGTTCCTAAAAAATGTTGTGAGAAGAGATGCGTGCATGTGAGAGAGAGAAACCCTCCATTTATACCTTCTCTGAGTTCAGCCACGATCAGAAAACTTTAAATCTAGGATGAGATGGGACAAAAATTCCCAAGCCATGGAAAAGCCTTGGTAACATTCATAGCTGTGAGACACCAGAGAGTCCACACAGCAGAAAATGCTTAAGAAGGGGACTCTGGGGTGACTGATCAGGCAGGAATTGCTCTGGGTGAGGTATTCATCATGTCTTTCTTCCCCATGTGGCTTTTCTGGTGTCTAAGAAGGGGTGAGAGCCCACCGCAGCCCCAGTACAATTTGGTTTAGAAGTCCATCAACCACGAGGCATGAATCCGTTGGAGACCAGGCTTCATCACTTCCAGCGCTAACAGGACGACGTGGCTTTTTAATGCTTGAAAGAAAACGGTTCATTTAGCTCTTTCCCCTCGTAATTTCTTCCCTTCCCCAAGACCAAATAAAGTAGAAATGAGATGCCGTGAGAAAGTCCGTTCTTGGGGTGTTTCAGGCCCTGTAAAAATGGTTTGGTTTGCTGGCTTTTCAGAGGGACAGCAGCCGGGCCAGGGCAGGAGAATCACGAGGACCCACCGGCGCTAATTCGCCTTCGGCTGCGAGCCAGCCTGCGTCCCGGGCGGGAGAGAGGAGAGGTGGAGATGCTCCCTACCTCGGTACAGCAGCAGCCAAGAGCTCTCGATTTAAGAAACAGATGAATATGAACCCTGTTGGAATGCCTTCAAAAATCTGCTAGCACTCCCCTCCCTGCCGAAAGCCGAATAAATCCCCTTCGTATTTCAGGCTCCTAGTGAGACCCTGAAATATTATCAGTGCTCTTTGACACTCTACCTGCCCCTCATCCCACCTGGCTTTCCACAAACACATTTCCTCTTCTTTCAGGGAAAAAAAAAAAAAAAAAAACCAACCCTGACACTTCTCTAGCACTAGAGTGATCAAGTCTCCTCCATTTTATATTTGGTATTTTAATAGGGTTTCCTTTTAGACCTTTAATGAGTTTTTATTCCCCTTTGTATATCAGACGCTTCAGTCCGACCGACAGTTTTACTCACCCCATGTGGAGTAATATGAACAGTCAGGACAACCTTTTATTCCTGTGGCAAGGTTTGCTCTGCCAACATTTTTCTTTTGCTCACAGTCGGGGGGATGTGTTTTGACCCTTTCCTCACCGCCGTTTCACCCATCTTCCAGCCTTTGAGCAAGGACGTTCCCTGCCACGCAGGGGCAGGAAGAAACCCAGCCCTGCTGTCTGTGCTCTCAAATGCTTGCAGCTCTCTACCAAGGGGGAAAAAAAAAAAAAAAAAAAAAAAAAAAGGAAAAAAATAATCGAAACAAAAGCAAATGTGGACTTTGACTCATCTAAACAGCTTAGTTTTGTTACTTCAGCCTGAGCCCAGACTTGCAGGACATTTTATTACAGTTTGCAGCAAGCGGGTCAGGCTGGGGGCTGTCCTCGTGCCTCCGGG